ACTACTCACGGGGTCAGGAAGAAAATAGAACCGGCAAATGTCGCCATCGTCAGCCCCGGTGCTGACAGAGACTGACTGATCAGAAAACAACCCCCCAAATGCACACCCTCCCGCCCGAGCGCTTTGCATCCCCGAGTGGGTGCTAATCTCTCAAGGCGTGCCACGTTTAGATCTCGAGGCGCTAGCTGCTACGTTCATAGAAAGAATGCCGTTCGAAGAGTGGAAGGTCGTTGGGCAAAATGGGGGGGGGGGTGGTTGTGGTTGTCCCCCCCCCCCCAGATCCCACGCTGTCACGTCACGCCAGAAACGTGTGTCTATTGCAGGAAGGACGTACGTAGCGAAGGAGCTAAAGAAAGATTCCATTAAAAAATTGCCGTGATGGCTGCATTTACGCAATCTTGCAACACCCCACGGATTGGATCCTGACACAAGAAACAAGGGACGGCGAGGCCTCGGCATCCTTCGAATTTGCTTCGAGAAGGAATCAATCAAACCCGGTGCCGGTGAACGATAAATGGGCAATGATAATGATAAGGCAGATGCATGTCGGCTGACCGGTGAGCGGACAAACCCTGGCCCATGCCATGTCTCCTCGGTGAACGCGGGGGAGACGAGACTAACCCTTGGGGTGCTCGCTCGCTCGCTTCACGTCTACCGATCATTACCCCCTCAATGATCAGAGGTGAGACGAAATGGGGGAAGGGTAGGGGGGCCCCCTAACTCTCGTGGCCGTCTGGTTGCTCACCTGTCTTCTTTTTTGGCTGAGATAGGGCGGTCGAGTCGTTTCATAGATCCCAATCGAGAAACTCCTTCGTTCGGCGGCACAGGCGCAGGCGCAAGCGCAAGGCATTCAGGGAATAGCATCCTGATGGATTCAAGAGGACCCAGGAGGTGAGTTGTCACGTTGCGTGCTGTGGTAAGAAATGGCCCGCGCCGCTGCCCTTCCCGTCGCGCGGGGGTACTGTCAGCTTGCCAATTGCCCTCCCCCCCGGCGGCGGGGGGGCGGGCAATGATAACGGGGGTCTGAGGGCTCGAAACCCTTGTGCGGCCGTGGGTGTTGATCAGATCAGCAAGGGACAGGCGCGGGATGCTCTCGATTGGTGCGCCTGGGCGCTTTTTAACGTCAAGCCAGACACGGTAGGTGGTAGGACGGGAAGGGGGGGAGGGGCCCTAGAGCTGAAACTGTGAGAGCCGTTGTCTGGCAGTTGTGGATGGGGGAGGATGGCTGGATCGCCTTGGGTCAGTGTTAGTGTTGAATATGTTTGGTTTGCTCGCAACGCAAAAAAGCCGATGGATGGGGGCCGCAGGAGGGCTTCTCGCTCGGCCGTCGTCGCATACGAAGCTGAAGCTCGTGAGGCTTAGCACGGGCTCGGGAGGCCTTTTCGTTGCGATAACTGATGCTCCTATCATGTGGTGCGGAAGTGCCAGCGTGCTGAACACGAGGAAAGTACGTGGTGTTTCGAAGGTCCGCGAGAACAAATAATCGGCAAAAAAAAAAGCAAGTTGGACACCCCACTGAGAAACGGCAGTGAAGCTATCAAAGGGTGCAATTGTGCGTTTTTCGGCAGGTTAGTGGTGGGCGTGCACTACTAACATTGCCTGCTTGCTTCTCCCCGCGCTCTCAGCCACGACAACGGTAGGATTCATTCTGGCAGATGACCTCTGCGACCACGTCTCCCCCACTGCACCGTCCGACAGCATTGGCCCAAAACCACGGCCTAGGTATGCCGGATAGCATCTGCCATTATCATCAAGCATGCGCACATGGCTGCCTAACCACAACACAGCGCTTCTAGAGAGGTCGCAGCCGGCGGTTGATCTAGCGAGCCACTGTGGTAGGTGAGTGCACTGATGATCGCCAGGTGAGTGCAATATCAGGCCTCGGATAATCAGACAGCTGTCTGCCCTGTCCGTCCGTCCGCGGCAGACAGGATTTACGCTTCTGATGACGCTCCCGGAATGCTATGCGCGTGTCCCGAGGTCATCTGTCCCCAACAAGGGGCGGGAGTTCCAAGCCGTTTTGGGCTTGTTTCCCCCTTAGAGCCGGTCGGGGCTGTCACGTCACCCATGAGCTGGCCAGCACTGCCTTTTGCCCACTGTCTTGTCGATGGGCGATGCGACAGGTTCAGAGCCTGGGACTGCTTTGCGACGGTTGTTGGCCTCAGCTCTCTCCTTGGTCAATGAATAGCTGCGACATGGGCTGCGTGCGCGGCACAATTGATGCTGCGGCTGTGGTAAGGATAGGGCTCATCTTGTTGGCGGACAGATGAGGATGTGTGGGCAATCCAGGCCCGACGGACCTGGGGCTTGCGTGCTCATGTGCTGCTGCTACTGCTGCGCTGTGTGTGTGTGTGTGTGTGCGCGCCCGCCCGCCAATGTCCCAGGGCTGGCTGGCTGGGGCTGGGCTGGGGCCCGTGTTGTGATGCAAGATTATCCGACAGGACAACAGATTGATTGCGGCACACATCAAAAATAGCAGCTGTGTTTGCACATGGTCATATGGGATGCCTTCAATCAAACCAAAACCCTAAATCTGGGGAAGCGAACCGGTCGGTGCGGGCGCTGGGGCAAAGCAATGCGTTGTCCTCGCGGAGTCTTGTGATGCACTTTTGACACGCACGATGTGCGGTTGAGGAGGCCAGGCAGGGCGAGCGGCGAACGACTTGGGTCAATGATCAGCCATGCGCGCGCAGATCTGGACGCATTCAGGGACGTGACCATCGTGACCGTGACACGGCAGACCAGGGCAGTCAATTCGCCGGGGAATCGGGAATCAACTCCCACCCCCAAGGTGAGTGCGGTAGCGCGTGGGTGACCGAGCGAGGAGTCAGTCACTCAGTCAGGGCAGGGCAGGGCCAGGCCAGGCAGCGTGGCCAGGCAGGGCAGGGCAGGACAGGGCCAGAGGGCAGGGCAGCAGGGCAGGGAGCACTGTGATGAGGCGCGGGATGGGATGGACGGATGGACACCTCAGGCTCGAGCCGGACTGGACTGGGACTGGAACTGGGAATGGGTTGAGGGTCACGGGACGGTGACTTTGAGGCTGTTGATCCGTTTCTGGGGAACAAGAACACAAAGGGCGGGACGGAGGGGCGAGGCACCGTTTTCTCTCCCTCCGCCTCACTGCTGGTTGCGGAACTTGGCCGATCTGGGGGCATTTCCACGAACCGACGGCCAGAAGGGCTGGCTAGGCGGCTTCTCCATTTGGGGCAGTACCCCCAGGCCGCGTTTGACCCGATGGGGAACTCGGTGACAGCTGCTTGGGTGCTTGGGGAATTGGCGAGCTGTCAAATCCCATCATGTGACGAGCAGCGAACGCAAAATCCCTGAGCGGCCATGTGCTGCCTAAAAGGGTTGGCCTCGCTTTTTCGAGCTTGCCCGAAACGGTAGGCCATATACTGCCTGATTTGGATGCTGGCCGTTTGCGATACTGCTCCTTCAGGAACAGTGCCTTCTCTCTCTCCCACGATCGGCCCGTCTCTGAAGAAAGGAATCACCCGTTCTTCGTACTCAGCCCGTTTGGGTGCCATCTCAGACAATTCGAGTTCCCTCTCCCAACGTTCTGGGCCTCAGAGGAGTATCGAAAGTGGAGGATGAAAAGGCAGCAAAGCAGCTCCTGCAAACGCAACGAACAGGTTTCTGCATTTCGTCGTGACTATGAGACCTGAGCAATGGCCGCTTCTGCATCAACCGGCAGAGGACAAACGAGGTCGGCATGCTTTCATCGTGGATACATACATAGGCATCAATGTCGCCAGTGCCAGTGCGCGTGCGCGCGCTCTTAGCCCGTGGGCGGACGGACGGACAACTAGATAGACAGACGGACGGATAGACTAGACACAGTAGGGAGAAACTTCGGTGCTTCTTCTCCGGCTCCATCAACTGCATTGCGTGTTTGATGGCCAACAATCCAACGCTGTCTGAGGGAGATCACATTGTCAAAGGGCGTGGACGGGTGGGATGGGATGAGATGGATGATGATGAGTGTGTGGTGCTGCCCGTCTTTGTTGTTGCTCTTTTCGATGAGAGAATGAATACATTGGTACATAGCCTACTTGTGGACATCCAGAGGTACGTACCGAAAACGGAGTGACCAGGTACATGTCCATCGGTACGTATCGATTCGAGGTACTTTGTACTGGATACGGTACGTACCTGCCCGCTTGCTGTTGCTGTCACTGAATCTGAAAACGTCCCTTTGGCCAGGCCCTGACTTGGGCTGCTCCTCTCTCCCTACCCCCTGCCCAGAGGTGGCTCTTCACCGCACAAAGGTCCATCCCACGCCCAGGGCCCTGGTCAGCCAAAGCAGATCCCCCCCTCCACTTCCCAGCTCCACCGTCCCTCCCCTGTCCATCTTTCTGCTGATGACCCAGGCCCCAAATTCCCTGGGAAGGGGTACCCATTCTGCGCTGCTTCTCCGGCAAAATACAATCCCCAAGTACCCTCTCCCATCATTCCCCGGCTAGAGGTACCTAGACTGCCCCGACCCAACCCATCCAGGGACGGCGTCCATTACATTTACATACCGTCGCCCTCTCCCCACCGTCTACTGCTCATCCTCCTCTTCCTCTTATTACCTACAACCACAACTTCACAACGACAACCTTACCCTGCCGGCGCACTTTACCACGGCTGGTCTACCCAAGAAGCAACATTCACAGACATCTTCCACTTCACTTGGAAGCATCCACCTCAGTCTCCACGCAACTTTGTCGCCCTCACTGCTCGCCCAACCAAGGTCTCACCAAGGCGTCATCGCGCATCGCCCGTCACCAACATTCCCACATAATATCACAGGTTGATATCCACGCTCGACGGCCACTACTCCGCCGCAACCCACTCCAGCCTCGGTGACGATTTGAACTCGAACCTAGGAGTTCATTCCAAAACGAATTGCGCATCCTGCCCTCGCGATTGTGTCGCGACTCGCTCTACCGATCCGCCCTGCCCTGATCGACCTTCAGCGCCTGCTCGACCCCTTCGAGCAACACAGCCCTCGCGCAATGCCCTCGACCCTCAATGCACCTGTATTACAGGTGGATGCCAACCTAATCCACCAAGTCGACACCTCTAACCCCCAGAACCTCTTCAACCTCTGGTGCAGTAAGTCCTCCCTGCGCGCCTCAGATCACCCAACCCGGTCTTAACCGTATCCACAGTGCTCTCCAGGTGCGCAGACGCTCTGCCACAAGGAAGAAGATTGGAGAACCTCGTCTGGAGGTTATTAATGGAAGAGGTGCCCAACGAGAACGCACCTTACGCCGCCACTTCCCTCCCACGAGAAATCCAACGCCCAGCGCGCAAGTCGTCTGCCGAAGACGTCCCCAGACTATCGGCAAGCGTCGACTCCCTCGAGAACGACGAAGCTGTCGAGTTCTCTTCCGACTCATCCCCAGTCGACATCTCTCGACCACGGATCCGACGACAAGATTCTTGCACCAGCACCCGCAGCAGACACATCTCTTCCGAGAACCTCGAGAAGATGGTTTCGTCTATTGTGGAGCAGAAGGAGTCTCTGTCTTCGCCGCTCCCAGAGCTACCTCCCCTACAGTCGCCACCCAAGGAAGAGGAGGCCTTGATGCTTCCTCCACCCGAACTCATCCGATCAGGATCGACGACTACTGAGTCTCCAAGCAAAGATTCAGACGGCCCATCCGAGTGCTCGTCCGCTGCCTCTGCCGACCTCCAAACAGCCAAGACTACTGTCGTTCGCGGGTTCTCGCCTTCATCACGTCCCATCCCCACAGTCTTCACCCCTCCCAGGGCAACATCCGAGATCCCCGCCCCCAAGTCCTCCCCAGCAGCAAAGGCGGTCGAGTCTAAGAAGTCTCGAGCCAAGTTTGTTCTCGGAGGGTCGTCTGAGGAATCTTACAGCGATCACGGCCACAGTGTCGAGACACGGCCTACCCTTGCACCACCAGCACCTAAGAAGAAGATGTTCCAGATTGGAGGCTCTTCAGAGGAGGACAGCTCGCTCAAGAGCGCACTCGCGTCTCCCCGCCATGGCCTGTTGAGTGCACACAAGAAGCAGACCTCGTTTGCCAACAACCTGACGACCACGATCCCCTCCACATCATCTGCCGTCATCGATGAAGATGACGAGAGCTGCTACGACGAGAGCGCTATTGATGATGACGATGAGGACTGGGAGGACTCGAACGAGGAGGAGAGCAGCAAGAACAGTGTGGACGAGAAGACATTCTTCCAGCGTGTCGATTCAAGCGCCAACCTGACCTCGCGTCGATCTCTCATCACCCTGGGCCTCGAGTCGAACCAGCGCAGGGGTGCCGCACCTCACCTTGGCAATGTGGCCTCACAGTCGACCTCTGCCATCTCGCAGCGTGCACGAACTACTTTCAACGGCCCTTCCATGGTGGCTTCCCCGAACGACTCCGATGACGCGCCCCTCATGATGAAGCGAAAGCCCCGTGGTGCCCCACTGCGGTCTATCAATGAGATTCCCCGCTCGTCAGCACAGCCCATTGCGCCTACCAGCAACGGTGTCAGCCAACCCATTGCCTTCTCTCCTAGGACGACCCGCCGCAACATGATGTCAACTGAGCTCACCGAGTCTCTACGCCGTCACCTCCTGTGGGAGAGGTCACAGAAGACCTCAACGGCTAATGCGGTCCTTAAGCGTCGCCACACATCGCAAGACGTGGCCAACCTGAGGCAGTACCCACAGCAACCTCACATGAACCGAGACAACAACGACATCAACGCCAGCAGCTGGGACCAGGACTTCACCCGGGAGGCTTTCGCCGGTTACCATACCAAGGGCTGGTAAATTCACTCGGAGACTTCGCTGCCCTCCCACACAATCGACACTCGACATCTGCATATACCCATTCAAAAGTGATACCCAAAAAGGACAGGAAAAACTGGACTTCCACATCTTCGGCACACAAAAGAAATGTGCCCTTGTACAATTTCACCGAGCAAGCATTGCGAAGCGACATGCTTTTAACGACATCGAAGCATGACTGGCGGCGTTTTGCTTTTATTTTTACACATTGATGTACCGCGCCTCTAATCTGGGCTGGCCGGTCAACACATCTAAAGTGTGCTGTGTTTCCTTCTTTCATTTCAATCATGATACCACGGTCTCCGAATCGCATCAGTTTTCTTGTACATGAGTACCGGCTACTTTGATTTCTTCATGATACCCTCATGATGGGGTTTGGTCCAGGGGTGGGAATTGTTTTTTCGTCATCAGGTCAGCAGCAGGAAGAAGTGTGTGGAAGGTGTATTCTATTACGGTCCCGGTGGTACAAAAATCGGATGTTGGGCAACCAACACATCTCCTCGAGCCGATGGACCAGGCAGGAAGCGAAAGACAAAAAAGAGGGTCTTTCTGTGAAGCTACAGTGCGTTCTTTTGCTACGCAGCACAACAACAAAAAAAAGGAGGGGACAAAACCCAAAAAGTTCGAGTGGAAGCACACCTTCAAAAAGGACGACCTCGATTAGTTACGAGGCTTGATTAAAAAAATATTAAACCTGATGAACACTTCATGACAATGTCCCAATGCGTGCCTTGTACCTGATGACTTGCTTGCAACGTGATCTACTGTTTCTGACATGAGCTGATGGGTTCTTCTGTTCAATGGTTCCCGATGCATTTGGTGCTGACCGCGGCACGTACGGCCCAGTTCCGTCGCAACGGGAGAGGGGGAGACAACGAACCAACCGTCTTGCTCCTCGGCTCCCACACCCCTCCGTGACCCTGACCCCCCTCCACCCCTCCCCACTCTTTGTGCTTACTAGGAGAGCCGTGCTTAGCAAAGGACAACCTGATACATAGGGATGAACGCGGAGCCGCATGTTCCAGGTTCACGTGGAGCAGCAGAAAAAAAATCCTCTGAAAATCACAGAGATTTTTTTTGCCCACACACGTGTACCCCATAAAAGAGCCGTACGAAGGGCCGCTGGAAAAAGCGAGACAACTTCTTGGATAATCCACTCGGCTCAATCAATCACTCAAACAACCCAGGCAAAGGGGAAATAAGTGCACCGCCCGCCGGCGGAAGGGCGGGATCCGGACTCTTCCCTCCTAGGCGTGTCGGTCGGTCCTATTTGGAATGCCAGCTAGTACGGCCTGCCTTTGCCCACATGCCTACGTGTGGTACGTACCGTACCGTACCGTACCGTGACGGACAATGCACACAGGGAGAGATGAATAAGAAATGGGCACGCGCTTTGTTTAGGTTTTTTGGGCACTTCCAGTCTAATGACCGACTCCGTATTTCCCCTCCCCCTTCTCCATGGCGTGACGACCACAAGACGCGGACCGGTGTGTGGAGGAGGACAGAGCCTGCCTGTGCTCTTTTCTGCGAAGCTTGGGGTGTTCCGCTGCCTCCTCTGTTACCGTAGCTTGGGAAATGCATGTGATTGATGACTGTACAGCGCTGCAGCGCCCCGCGGAGGGCTTTTAGCTTGCTGCTGGCCAAAACCTTGCTCGGGGCACATGCTCGCGGCTAGTGTATGGAGGGGGCTTGGGGGGAATGGGGGATGATGGGGCGATGTGTTGTGTTGTTGTGTTGTATCACCCCAACCCAGACGAGACGCGCTGGCGGGTGAGGGGTGGATGGATGGATGGACACGACGCTGCGACCATGTGAGATGGCGCGAGTGATTGATTGATTGATTGATTGATTGATTGACTGACTGAGCGAGCCGGGAGGAGTTGCGTGAGTTAGTTAGTGAGCGCAGTGCAGTGTGAATCCCAAGTAAGTAAGAGAATGATACGGTATCGAGAGCCAGCCAACCGGCTCGGCCGCGTCGGCTTGCCTGATTGGGCATGATACGTCGAACTCTATCTCTCTCCCTGCACATAGTAGTATGTGTATCCTCTGTGCGTTCGTCCTCTGTTCCCTCTCCAAAACGCGGTTCTCCATCGGCGGTGTTTGATGTTCGGCCGGGCTGGCGGGGGAAAACGAAACAAAAAGACCAGTCTCGCTCGCTCGCTCGCTACCTTGCTGCACGGGTCTACCTGGGGGGTGGGCTACTGTTGCTCTGTACCAAAGTCTTGGGGCCACATCGTGCATTGCGTTTGCGTTGCGTTGCGTTCATGCTTGCTAACCTGCAGTAACCTGGAAGTTCCCGCCATCTCGCAGTTTTACGCGGAACAACTCGGCGAAGGGCGGTGATGGCCTTGGGATGGGGCCTTCTGACACTCTTGTATGACAACCTGTGGATATGTTGCCTGCAGTAGGGCTGGGCGATAGCGGTCCAGAATTGGCGCAGTCTGGTCTGTTTACGGCACAGGGCAGCAGCTCAGCAGGTCTCTCTCAGGCGATCCCTGGGCTGAGGCTAGGAACGGAACCGCAACGGCCATCGACCGAGATCCCACTATGTACAAACCAACCCCCCCCCCCCCTAAAACCAAACCAAAAAAAAGCCCCGATATCCCACATCCGCCCGGCACATCGCACACCCATCTCCACCGTATGGGTCTCCGTCTTGGTGTGTTTTTGCCTTCCGGGCGGGAATTAGTTGTAAATCCAAACTCGGTGATGGGTGTCCTAGCAGTGTGTTCCCGGGAATAACCTAACCCAGCGGCTTTTTGCGTTGCGGGAATGCACTCGCGGAGCGTTCTGGCCACAGAGAACACGAGGGGAGCTCCTGGCAGCTGCGGCGGCACCACGGAGCCAGTCCGTGAGCTGTCCGGGCCGGCGTGTTAGATCTTGATGCATCCGATCCTCACACGTATACCGTGCCGTATAACACACATCGGATCATGGAATTAACACAGCAATCAAGCCACCTTAACCACGTAACCTCCCCCCCCCCTTTACCCCCTCCTTCCGTATAACCGGGATTATAATGCCAAACGGCCGTCGTGCAAGGAGTCCAGCGGACAAGCAGGCCCAGGTCGGAGCTTCCAGTATAGGATTTCGTTGGTGGCTGATGCGCTGACAACTTTTATCTTTTCTCCTCTCCCTTGCGGACTTTTACACAACAGAAATCAGCAGAAAAGTGGACTTTGTTCAAAAGAGGAACCCTCTTCTTCCCAGTTCCAAGGTTCGAGTGATTTGTCACCCACACAACGGACACGAACCAAACAGCTCGCACGCAAACAAACAGCAAACGCACGTTCCCGTCCCCGGTCCGGTCGGCGCTCCGTGACACGGACCGTGTTGAAATTCGTCTGACATTGCGTCTTTGCGGGAGACAGCGCCGACGTTCATGCCGGCCACCCGCCGTCAGCTTCTAGAAATGAATATCGCGAAAATCGCGTGAAGCTCTTTCATCGTCAACATGGCCTGGTGGATGCCCCTCTGTTCGCGGGTTCTGCGAGGCTCCGGCACTCGACTGCGCCCTGTCTCCAGCTGGTCGTAATCGTAAATCTGCCCTGTCCCTCCCCTTACGAGCTTGGATTAAAGCCAACAACTGGTGGGGTTGAAAGGGGGTCCACACAAGCATTTCGGCTGCAATGCCATGTGGTTTTCCTGGGAGGGGCAAGCCACCACCCCTCGGGCTGGGGCTCGTTCTCGCAATCTGCCAGCTTGGGGGGGGGGGGGAGGCAGGGCCCGCCCCTTTGTGTGTTGCCCGCCGAATACCCCGATGGACGGGCGGCCGGATCGATGGGTGAGCTGGGCTTTCCACTCACGTCTGTCGGTGACGATGGGCTCATGCACGCCCACCCCTTCAAGATTGAGGAGCCCACCACGGCCGCAAATCACCATGGGAAAATGGGTTGCCTCCCGGAAATGAGCCATGTCGCGTGTTTTGCCCTCTCACCGCCGCTTCGAGAAGGGAAGGGCAGAGGGACAGGAGGATGATGTTGCATGAGCATGGAGGCTCGGCCGGCCACGCTGTCTCTCGTCTTTTTTTTTTTGTCTCTCGGCCCTCTGCGCTGCCGGTCGTGTCTCATGGGGACCCAGCAGAATGGGCGGGATATCAAGCAGGGCGGCGGGGGAGGAGAGGGCCATGCGTTGGTCAATGGTGGGACTTTCTTATTCAATCTGGCGACGCTTTCCCGACGTGCCCGTCCCGACGTGCATGACGTGCCTGCTGCCAACAGTATCCATCCTCCCTTTTCAGCTTGAGCCAGGGGTTCAGTTCCAGCCGCAGGGGCCAGGGAGGGCCTTTTTCAACATCGTTGTTGTTGGTGCATGTGTGTTGTCACGATGCAGCAACAGCCATGTCGGTGCCGGGGTTTTTGCTGAAGAAACGCCATCGCAATATACGTGCAGCCTCGTGGCAGATCCCAGGTGAAGATCCAAAGCCAATCCGCCACCTGTCTCGGGCCAGGCTGCCAGGCTGGCGATCAATCCGGGGTTACGAACAACGCCAGCAACGATGATCGACCGCTGACTTTGGGGGATCTGTCTGTAGGCGTAGATCATCCCATGCACAGCATTCTCTACTACTTGTACAGCAAAGTTTGACGGCGGCCAGCACGGTGCCGTGTGCAAAGTCTATGCTGCAATACTACCTCTCTGTCTTTGAGAAGACCTTGGGGAAGTTCTCGGCCGTTAGAACGCAGTCGTGCAGCAGAAAAGCCATTGCAACGCAGAGCACGCTGTGCAGTGTTGGGTGTTGGAAGCTCAACGCGAGGCTCGTTGCATCGCTTAGCTAGCTGTCTCCGGGGCGGCGCCCACTGCGCCGAGACCAGGCTCGTCACATGGCCGGCTGGACTGCAGCGATGCTTCTCTAATGCACATGAGTTGGTGTGTCTCGTTGCAGACAACTCAGTGAAAGAGTCCATCTGCTGTGGCTCCCACCTGACATCGCCTCCACAGAGGCGGCTTAGCATCAGGCATTTGACAATTGGGTATCAAAA